TATTTCGTGCAAGAAGTCGTCATATGACTGACAAACTCATAACACAGACGCACAATGAGGAAATGTTGCGGTCGTCATAGAGATTTCATTGAAAAAAGTGACGCAGACTTACCATCAATTTAATGATTACCTTTCTGGCCAAACACATGTAGAAAACGACACGAAAATAGAGTTGGCCGTTACATACAGTTGACAAGATGAAAAAAAAATCTGTCACTCTTCTCCAATCGAATCTCTTACCTTAGGTAAGGTTTATATATAGTCCTTGTGTACTTTGGATATACATGGGAAATACATACATTAATTCAAGTATTTTAAGAAATTGTTTCTTGTCCTTATCATACATGTATTTCAAATGACATTTATTATGTAACATGATAGACCAAACGGTAGTAATATGCTATTTGTATATGTATATTTGTTTCTGTTTCTGGTGATAGGTTGTGTGTTGTTTATATATTCGACCTTGTTTCTCGTAAACATTGTACAAAAGCCACACAAATAAATAGCACCTCTTATTACGAATTAAGAGGTAGAAGCGGTAGAGCCAAACATTGAATTAAACTGCATCATACAGCTGTTTCGTCCTTCTAGGACTCGTCAGTGATGCGAATGGCTAAATTTTGAAGCCTAGGAAGCGATTAAGGAATATCCATAGTGATCATAAGAAGTCAAAATATAGACAGGGAGTTTCACTAGCCTCACAACGTCAAGTACGTGTGTATATCCTGAACCGCTTCAATGTTCGAATTAATTAAAACGTGACATGCAGGTTTTGGCGAACCGCGGAGACTAATAGTCAACCAGCATTGTCTACCATTGGCAATCTCGAGGAATGGCACCTTTCCTTACAGTTTTGTCATAGTGTATCTTTGATCCCAGACCCTTGTTCACGACTTGTTTGTATCCCTTTTTGATCACTTGTCCCAAATATGTAACACATGTTCAGAAAAGCTCGCAGTTTTGTTTGAGACCATGCTGAACAAGTCTAGAAAAATCTAGGATGTCATTTAGAAAATATCATATAATGTGATGAATCTCATTCTACTATTCCCCCAAATTTACCTACAAAAGACAGTTTGACTGTCAGCTTCGCCAATCGAACTCTACCGGTAATGTATCGGTCTAAATTTCATTTATCTTCGACTTTTCACTTTGTCATTAAGACTTCTCATCTCATTTTTTCCGTTTAATTATAATATTTTTCATTCTTAAAAGTGAGACGGATGGTCATGAATAGACATCACAAAATGCAACCTCAGTATATTGTTTTAATTGAAGAAATACCAACATGTCAATATTATCATAAACCAAACCCATAAAACGGGCAAATATGAAAAAAAAATTACACAGAGACTACTGATAAAGGACAAGGAGAATAAGACCATGTGTTTCGGAAGAGGAAACGTCTTCTATTTCATGGACGACACCCGCCATGTAAACACTGGCCATTCCAAGTAAGTAATGTCACGTTCTCAAATGAGAACAAGGTATACAACAACGGCAGCAACAGGCAAACTAACAAGCATCAAACACGTCCAGCTTCATACAAAGAAATAGCAAATTTCTCAATGAGATCACTGCAGCGACTATAAAACTTCCCATAATTTTCACCAACCTGTATTTTTTAAAACCATGTGTTACGAAATTGTCCGTCACTTGACGACTTCTTGGATTGAAAATCCTGATAATGGATACAGGCCATTGAATATCGAATCAGCTGTGACATGTAAATACCATAGACTGGGGATGCAGGGATATTGCTATCCAGAAATGGAAAATTCACATTAAGGGAATTTATATTATCACGCTTTTATGTTAGTTTCGTTGTTGGAAATATGGAGATAAGTAGCTGATGTAGAAGAGTCTGTTGTGTCAGTCTCGTATGAAACAAAAACAAGTCTACCAATAGAGGAGCGCACGTAGTTCCCAAACGTCTGCAAATAATTTTTTGGAAGATCTTGTCACCAAACTTGACGAAGATGTTGTCAACCAGAAATAGGGATGTGGTTGTGTATAGACTGGATTAATCAACTGTTCTTAAAGGAGACATGCCTTTTAAGCTCATTTGAGTTCTTTAAAGCCCATACTACTAATTCAACTTCTTGAGTAAACAGTATCACAAGACGACTGTAACCCCCAGAATTGATAGTACTAAAAATGGTTGCTAATAGATTTGACAAAGGCTTGGTTGAACAGCTAGACGAGTCAGCAATCAAACGTTGTTTATATGGATTATTGTGAAGTTTGTAAATCCAATGTAAACGTGCGAGGTCCGTATCATTATCATTGACAGGTAATTAAAATGATAGTAATACCGAAGTCTGATAAGCTAGTATTTCGTCTTTTGAAAGATTACATAATTTATAGGTGGTGTTTCCTTCGTTATCAAGCAAACCCACTTCTTTTTGTCAACAATAAATGCAACAATGTCTGCAGAGAATGATAAAGGTATTGGATGCCTTATCTGCAGACACATATGATTTCAAGCTGCAAGTTCTTTTACGAATGATGGACCGTACGGTAAATCCAAATCAGCATGTTCTCATTTCACTCATTTTCTTGCATAGTTTTTAAACAAAATCCAAAAGGGTTCCATGATATTTAGGAACCTCAAATTTTGATTAATGTTCACCCGTTACCATGTGCCCAGTTGGACATTATTAATAAGTAGAGGTAGAGCAAGAACACACTTACGAAGGACTCGAGTTATAAGTAGAGGTAGAACAAGATGACGTATGACTAGAGATATAAGTAGAGGTAGAACAAGCTGACGCAGGACTAGAGATATAAGTAGAGGTAGAACAAGCTGACGCATGACTAGAGTATAAGTAGAGGTAGAACAGGAACAAGCTGACGCAGGATTAAAGTTATAAGTAGAGGTAGAACAGGAACAAGCTGACGCAGGACAAGAGTTATAAGTAGAGGTAGAACAGGAACAAGCTGACGCAGGACAAGAGTTATAAGTAGAGGTAGAACAGGAACAAGCTGACGCAGGACTAGAGATATAAGTAGAGTTAGAACAGGAACAATCTGACGTAGGATTAGAGTTATAAGTAGAGGTAAAACAAGAACAAGCTGTCGTAGGACTAAAGTTATAAATAGAGGTAGAACAAGCTGACGTAGGACTAGGGTTGTAAGTAGAGGTAGAACAAGCTGACGTAGGACTAGAGTATAAGTAGAGGTAGAACAAGAACAAGCTGACGTAGGACTAGTTCTACCACAATTAACACTACACACTACCACACGAAGATAAAAATAATCTCTACGGTCATTCTTGCTGTTGACTTTATCTATTCAAAACATCATACTATCGTAAATGTTAAAAAACAAAACGTTCAGAACAACAAGATTGCTATCGTGTATTTTATTTCTAATGAGCTCCTTGTACAAATATACCCCATACACTGTCTATATGCATATATCCGTACATCCCTGTCCCCTAACATCACACTAGAGTGGTCTGTTTATGTGGCTTTGGTACTGATTACCATACATAACTGGACGATTACGTGTGTGGTTACAGGGTATCCCTTAATGGAACGGGAAATATCACGGATTTTAAAAACACAAAAGTCTTGATATTGTTCCACTGGAAATATTGCATGAAGTATTAATAATATTGTTTATTTAGGTCCTTAAACTGACATAATTTCAACTTTTGACAGATTTAACAGGGAGTTGTACGAAATCCATATCTTGAGACAAGAATGATTATTGAAAATTAGATTACAAGTTAAATAAACACTTAGTGTTTTTTTAATTTTTCTATTGTAAATGCTCTGAATCAGCCATGTAGATGTAATATAAGTTACTTTATACATATTTGCCCGATGTTTACGTTACCTGGAATGTGTAGACTAAGAAAAATTCGCCTGGCAATTTATTTGTGATCATTTTGTCGTTACAGATGTACCTTTGGTCAGTGACGTCACTCCTGATCCAATCAAAAAATCGCTTTGCCGGTATGAACTAAAATGTGCATGAAACAGTAACGTGTATAGATAGTATGAAATATCTATCTTATGGAATTTATAACTGATTAATTTCAGCGTTTTTAAGACATTTATTTAAACATTATAATGTTACCAAATGGTAGTATACAGTCGATATGAATACAATTTGGGTGACATAACATGTCGTCCGTTGGATGGCTAGACATGTCAGTAAGTGCGGAAAAATCACGATGTTTTCCTTTTCGTTTTCTATTTTGAAGTGTTGCATTGGTAAAGAATCCTGGGGCTGATATCATAGATGTACTAGTAGAGAATGGGATCTGTAAGCCATGGGTATTTCGAATCATTTATCATGAGTGACGATTTGACCGGAAGTGGAGAGGTCTATATGTAGTTTCCTCACTAGGGAGTGAAATAGTTAGCAAAGCTGTACTCAAAGTATTTTTCCTGACAAGAAGAAACATTTCTCGTGTAGGACCTTAATAAAGATTATTTTTTGTGAGAGGTTAAAAACAATATATGCTCTGCCTCGTGACCCTGATCATGGAGATTTAAATGGCTGTTGCCCAAATGCAGTGACGTGGGTACTTTTTGTCTACACTGGCTGATTTACATTTAAGCATTGAGCTGTTGCTGAATGGTAGTATACAGTCGATAAGAATATAATTTTGAATTCAAAATAAAAATTGGATTGTATGTATGCAAGCTCTGTTTATTTATTGCTACTGGCGGCCATGTTTGTTTACATTGGATACACTATCCGCTGTATTCATACACTGGCCTCATCATTATAATTGTAGCATACAGTCTCATACACTACAATTTGGTGTAATACCGACATAAGGCAACACAGAATGTAAATATACATTGCACAATGAGATGTCTGCCTGCAAAGCCCATTCCTGTAGAACATCTATATATATGGTAATGACTTAACCGTCTCGGTTTTTCGTTTTTGTCAATGTGGTAGAAATCCGGCTGTTTCCTTTCTGGTCATGCTGTAGCTTGTGTCCCTAGCTATACTTGTGTCCGTTCTGGTAATATCTAAATTGTCTCTCGTTGTTTTAGGTCTGGTAATGTGATAGGCGTCTCTTGTTTTCGGTCTGGTAATGTGATAGGCGTCTCTTGTTTTCGGTCTGGTAATGTGGTAACCGTCTCTTGTTTTCGGTCTGGTAATGTGGTAACCGTCTCTTGTTTTCGGTCTGGTAATGTGGTAACCGTCTCCGAATGTTTGTTGTCCGACGACGATGTTTTCGATTTGTTTACTGATGAGGACGTCCGAAAAGATAAACTATCTTTATAGAACGAACGTACCCTACTATTTACCGAGTAAGCAACGAATATGAAAATGCCTTGAGAACCATTTACAAAGTTTACTATAACCGAAAAAATAGACACCGGAACGAAAGAGTCGATGAGCTGAAATATCCACGAAATACCAGTCAGTAAGAAGAGTTTGATGTGGACACTAACTTCTCGTCTCGATGACTTGTTAGACGAGACGTGAGGAACTTTTGAAATGTGATATACTGTGATAGAAAAGAATACGATGTTCGCCAAACAGATCACGAAAACAGGACCAATAAATGTAGCAATAAAGGCGGGTAAAGATGATATAAAACATTTGACGTCACTTCCGTATCCGATACTGCCGGTCTCGCTTACAGAAATAGTTACGTACATTGCAATGATAAATGCGGGTAAGACTAAACAGTAACTAAGGTACCGGATATGTCTTAACCGCTCTGCTCTCATATTTTTCACCTGATTCAATGGTAACACAAAAACCTGGAACATGTGATAAGAACACACATTCATGCTAAAAAATGTTGCCAGCCAGAAGTAATGAATCAGGAGACCAAACGTGGCGCACAGTGTTTTATCCTTTGGTTGCGATATACCAAGTTGTGTGAGAAACTGGGAGAAAAACAGAGATGCTATCAAACACATGTTGTTTTTACCTGGAAGGGTTCGAAGAGACGAAAAAAAGCAGTAAGTAAGAAATGTTGCAAACAGTCCAAGAACTGATAGGCAGACACATACAAAAGACATCACTTGAAGAATATACTTGACCGAATTCTGTACAGAATCTTCCTTTGTCATTGATGTCATCATCTTCTCGAAGTCCTCGATACAGACTTGTATGCGTTTATAGGAACCAGTCCGTCGAAATTCGCCGAAGTGCAACCTAGGTCCTTTGGGCAAAAGTTTGACACTGAAAGTATTAGGGTCAGATTCATACTGGTCGTGGTCGATTTCGACCTGCTGGCAAGCTAAAAACTTTGAAACATAATTCATCTTATATTTATTTGATGTGTAGCCAAATTTTTTATATGAGACAACGAAGCAGCTATCCTTTAGGTCAGTTGTATGTATTGTGGTTGGCAGGTCGACAGCCGCTTCGTCGTACAACAACGTTACATTACATAACGTATTCAAGAACATTGTGCTGAAATACGATGACGTCATATTGACAAGTTTGCTTTCAATTTCTAGTCTTTCAACCATTACAGGAAGAAAGAAAGAAGTGTGCAATAAGAAGTGATGTCCTGTCGGATCTATGACGGAATCGCAGCCTTGATGTGTAAAAAGATAAATGGACACATATTCAATGCCGTCATGCATAATTTTAAGGTTTTTCGAAATAAAATCTCTGATGGCGTGTCTCAGCGGCTCTATCACTTCGCCAACTGTTTTGCTATTCTGTGCGAAGGTAACTTCAACACGCACCGCCAACGTGTAACCAAGCAGCGTCGTGTGTGGTAAAAATGGCCGGCAAGCATTTCCGGAGATGTACTTACCATCCGAGCAGAAAAGTTGGCGACACACATCCTGCGTTAAAAAAGAAGTATTATATATATCAAGCAAAAGTCAATATGTTATGAAACGAGTAAAGAGTTTGGTTATCGTACTCGGATGAAAATATCCCTGAAACAAAGAAATATATGTAATCGGTGTTATACAAAGAAACAGAGAATACAGGAAGAGGGTGGATGAGGTTGGGTAAACAGTATGACTTTCTTCCCTATCGCTTTGAAATGGTATCCATAGGATATCCGTGGGAATGCCTATACAGTGGCACAGAGAATATCGTATATACAAATCCATTACCTAAACCGCAATAACAAAATGTATTTATCTTGCCGGAGTTGACAAATATTAAGCGATTAAGGGGCAATCAGATGCAAGATTTTGTCTAATAAACTGTGAAAATAACAGAATGCTAAAGAGAAAAGATTTCTTTTTGTTGTCATATATAATATTTATTATTATAATGTTAATAATAAATATTCGTGTATTCTATTTAACGTTTTAATGTTAGAGAACATATCGTGAACAGATGACCTGACTCTAACCATAAAGTAGAGAGACCATGTACTTTGTTATCAGGAAACGCCAAACACAAAATGGCATCACAACTGACAATACCAGCTGATATATCAGAATGTGACCCTTATATTGATCACTTTACTATGAAAATAACTTAACTTCAATATGCTTAAATGAAATACACTTCAATGTGAGTGTGTGTGTCTGCGTAAATTGAATAATCACCTTCTTTGGATCGAATACTTCATCTTTTTGACACCGTCCAGTGAAATTCGTGTTATTTGCTTCGTGAAAACCACTATTATCAGTTAGGCCTCTAAAAGTGAACATTTTCCTGTATGTCGAAGCTACCATTGACGCCATTTCTATAATGCTCTCCTCATTGCACTTTTCTTGCTTCTTGAAGTGGAAATTTTGGAACAGGTCCTGTTTCGGGTGGAAATTTGTTCTTTGCACTGTGTAACACTCAGAACAAAACGTGTTCTTATATATCGGCTTGGAAAGCGCCCTCGGGTAGACTTCACATCTTGTTGCCATGACGATGTCCATTGGTTCAATATGTCCATTCCTATCACACGTATCTATAGGTGATTCGTGGCTTGAATTGGTGTTGCATATTTTGCAAAATATATTACTGTATCCGGTTATGTCATCCCTAACATATTGAGTGATGTCTGGTATGTAATTTTCACAAGCCCACAGTACATCTGGGTCGTACCCTTCCCACTGCCCCGTAACATTACACGTAGAAACTGTACGAACTTGAAACATGTTCTCTCCCTTATATAAAGGGAAATGTATACTACATTTTTCTTTGCCATTCAAATGTTCTATGTGCTCTATGGCCTTTATGAATTCACTTAACAGATAATATTCTTCATACTTCATCAGGAAGTTACACACTAATTTTAAATTTATTGGATTGTACATGTTTTTGAAGAGAGATATATCGATATTTTTAGTGTGATCTATTGACTGTAACATATCTTGTCCTTCATTACATAAGAAGCAGTAGATGTTCCGATACACAACATTTGATCGTGTAGAAGTGATCGGTATGTTGGCAAAGTTCTCCTCGTTATTACTCTCGCATGATACCAGTAAATATGATATTTCTGTTATGTTATAGCATTTTGATACAACAAAGCCAGCAATGTTTTTCTGAACAATTGCTGGAGATGTTATTGCGAAATCAGCGCAGCAATCTGACGTCAAAACACATGTGACGTCACAACCACATTCTGTCAAGTTGCCAGCGATTGTATCACGAACATCATAAAAGGACAGTGACTTGTTGCAGTAGGTCTGATGGCCGTAATGCAAGAAATGCATAAAAAGTAATTTTCGTAAGTCCACCTTCCTTACTGTGTCTCTCACTATCGATGATGTATTGGCAGCATCTCTCGCTGTGAATGGATCCATTTGGTATTGTGTTTGAACATTTAAATTCGTGAAAAACTTTATTTTGAAACTATATGATGATTTTTCTCGATAGTATTTTTCAGATTCTATTTCGATTTTGGCATCCATGAAGATATCATTGCTGTTGGTATTTCTGTTACACAGAAAACAGAAGATGTTTTTGAAAGGATATGACTCTGGAACTGTTGGGGTCAACTGTTCGCATGAGCGCTTCAGGTCTTTATCAAATGTTCCCCATGCTCCTGTTTGATTGCATCTATCAATCACGTGATCATTTCTCCTGTGTTGCCCTGGGTTACAAAGGAAGCAGAAGATGTTTCTGTAGTACTTATATGGTTGGTCGACAGTGCGGCACGCCCATTCTATGTCGGGGTCGTGTTTACGCCACGCTCCAGTGATGTTGCACACCTCGACCTTTCTGTATTCCCTAAGTTCCGGTGAATCACAACCGACATATTTTCGACGATTTGGAGATCGATACACCATAGAGCATGCGCTTTCATTAATCGTTTCCAAAATGATGTCATAGGAAGTAAGATGGTTTAGATCAATCATGCCCGGACAGTCGATACTCAGGGACCATGGGGAGGTGTTAGCTTCCCCAAAACATTCAGCACAAAACCTGTTTCTGTAAACAGTCAAACTGGTCGTTGACGACACTGGGGTCAGGGTTAACTTATCCCTACTAGTGTAGTTCCCAGAACATCGATTGGATAATTCATCCGGGGATCCTGTCGGACATTCCGCCACAGCCAATGCATATTTCTTCACATTGGTTTTTTCATATAAAGCAAGATTAAGACACGTTAGCGCTGAATGTGGAAACAGAATATCTGGGCAGCAGTCTTCCCGTTGCATACAGTTTTGATCACATGCACATTTAGGACAAAATATTGGACCTTCGTATGTTCTTGTCGGATATGAAATATTAGTAAATGTTGACGAGTTGCAAATATGAGATTGTCCACAAATTAGCGTATACTGCTGGATTATGTTGGAGAAGTTTACAGAGCTGGTGTGTCCTGTCAGTAACAACAAAATAGTGACTAACATTTTCACCCTTATAAGTCCTTCCTTTGTTGACATCTCGTGACTCTAAATAAACAACGTTTTAATGAAATCGATATCAGTCGCAGTTTTGAATGTTGGTGATAAAATAACCGAATCTGAAAAAAAGGTAAACAAAATAAGCACGTCAGATTTTCATGATCTCAAGCAAGATTTACAGCAACAATGCAAGCCTCTACCATAGCTCTTCAGCTATCTGAGAAATGAAATACGTTAGAATTAGTCTACATTCTTTTGAAGGACATTGTTATATGTATTTGAATATTAAACAATATTAACAATGAAAAACAAGTGAAATGAGGAGATAAGGATGCCTAAAGATGCAAAATTTCAGAAATTTTGAAAGGTTTGATTTTAGACAGCTTATATCTAAGAATATATTTAAAAAACACACACACAAATAATGATGATAATATCATGATGTTGCAATAATTTTTATAGCTCGATATGTAGCTCGAAGCGGTAGGGTATGGTAAATAAGAGATAATCATTCCCACTAATCATAAAACTTTCTCATAATTCTCATCAACCTACATCTTTTGAACCCTTGTGTTACGAGTTTGTCAGTCAGTTGACGACTTCTTGCACGAAAATCGTGATAATGGGAACAGGCCCTTGAATATCGAATCACCTGTGACATGTAAATAACATAGGTTGGAGATACAGTGATATTGCTATCTAGAAATGGGAAATTCACAATAGGGAAATTGAAATCATCACGTTTATCATACAGCTTGATGGAAAGCTGTCCATGTTTGATTCGTTGTAAGAAATGATCGAGAGAAGCACCTGATGTAGAAGAGCTTGTGGAATCTTTGATTTCCAGTTCTGGTGGATATATACAGTAGAGGTGATCAATACATTTCTTGTTATTTAAAGACAACAAAACGTCATCAATATATCTGAAGGTGAAATTAAACGACTTTGCAATGTTTTTGTGACCTGTTTTGATAAGCTCTTCAAGAGATTTAGCCTCGTATGAGAAAAAACAAAAATCAGCCAACAGAGGGGCGGAGTCGGTCCCCATAGGTATGCCAATAGTTGGAAGATCTTACCACCAAACTCGGTGAAGATGTTGTCAAGCAAAAACTCGGTCATTCTTATGATTTCGCCCTCCTTATAATTCTTCTTTGATTTGTACGTGTATTTTACAAAATACGCTTTTCTAAATCTTTCTGGGAAATATTATTTTGATGATTAAAAAAATAAGGGTTGCTGTTAGATTTCGTTTTGTGTTTTTGAAATTTTCACTAAACAATCGATATTTCTATTATTAACATGAAATATGTAGAGATGGGATTTTAAAATCTAGGAATCCATGCAGTCAGGATTCAGGCGTTTCAAACCTGTGATCTGTGGTGATAATCAAAACAAACTTTTTTTGAAATCCGTACAACACTTTTTGAATTATGATCAAGAGAATTACCATAGCAACTGCAAAAAGTTAAAATTGTTGACACTGCTAACCGAATCACGGCATCAATTCTGCCGTCAAAAAATGTTGTCAACGAACAAAGTACTGTAACACGTGATCCATTCTTATTTACAGGTAAACTTTAATATAAAGAAGTGTATTAATTTACAAAATATAAATACGTTGGCGTTTATTATACATTATGTCATACTTCCGGTCAAACATAACGTTCGTTCATTCTTCAAAACGAAAGATTAAACATGTATTTCAATGATTGTTTACAGCAATAGACTTAATGTATTCTGATATGTACAAACTACAATATAAAATTCATAAAAATGTACTTTTACTATAATAGATAATAATACTAAGATAATCACATTTTATCACAATAAAATAGTTACCATATTCTTACCTCCGACTTCCCGACCGACCGAGTCTAACCTGATGCGTAAATACCTGGCTGGAGAATTTAAAAGATGGCCTCGCTGATATTGATAAATATTTCACGGGCTGATTGTTAATCTCGTGCCAGAGAATAATGACCACTTCAATAGTAGCCTGACCACACAGCAGGCAAATAAATCCCAGACAAAATCAGAATTGTACAGCTATAATGAGTTATAATATTAACCATTATCTAGGAGGTTAATTAATCTCGTTTTATAGCACCTTGAGCTCCAGTCAATTATCAACAGATACATATCGTAGTACATGAGTATGCCCTGGAGAACGGAGTATTTGACAGAATCAGACCAGTAAAGCTGAGAGACATATCAATATTTAAACCATTGTTCTCAGTTCATTTAGGGTTGAAATGTTAAGTGATCCTGGATTTTCTCTCTGATATTGAACTACAAGCACACACAGAGGGGTATTTGAAATCTAGTCAAACGTACCGATGGAAGTTTGAATATTTGACGTGATGGAAGCGAAGTTAGTTGTCTGTGGCATACTACGAGGAAATTCGTCACTAGAAGCACTTGCGTAAGCAAGGGGGGCAACTGCCCCCCCCCCCCCCAAATCCGTTATTTTCCTTCAAAATACGCTCAAAATGCAGGAAACGGAGCCAAAATTTTCAAAATTTTCTGGGGAAGGGCCCCCAGACAACTCTCCAAAGCTTCGCGCCTTCGGCGCTCGCGACGCACGGATTCGCCGGCGTTGCAAAATTTTGCCCCCCCCCCCATCCAAATTTAGATCCTGGCTACGCCACTGACTAGAAGAAATTCGGAATAAATTGTCTGTTAGTCCTTACAATGTATGTATATATGTAGATATTTTCGCTAAACAAGACGATGCTTCTTAAAATCATTGGTAACACTTTGAGGGTCTTTGAGGAATGAAATAACCGTTTGTGTATGTTACGGAAAACAATTAATTTTCTTTGCTTTTGCAGCATTAAATCTATGGAAGAATTCTGTCTACTTTAACTTATCAGGAATAAAAAAAGTGCAATGTCGAATTTGTTATAATTTTGTGACTTATTGTGTCAGTGATGTTCGGGGCCTATTTTTAAACATTGTTAACGTTAAACATGAAGTATATACAGATACCGGATCGGTTGGTTATGTATATCGATTGGTAGATTCTGACAAGTTTCTATTACCAACTACAATTAAACCAAATAGCATCCTACTTGATTTTGATTCAATGTTCAGTGGCTTCTATCAAATATGTCGATTTCCAAGATAGATGTGGAAAGTTGATAAACATAGAGCACAGAGCTTTAAGAGATAACATTTATATGAAATTGGTTATATGGTGCATTTTTTTGTTTTTTGTTTGTTTTTGTTTTTGTTTTGTGAGTTATATTTCGGTCTCAAGTCCGATATCCGTGTGTAGTTTGTAAGTCATCAGAAGAATGTAGGTGTTGAAACATTCATCTGAACCATCTATCTTTGTTGGGTATCACTATCAGTGTCATCTTTATCAGAACATGATGTACATTTTTCAGATGTTTGAACATATATATTTTCAGTCTGTTTTGTACATTTATAGAATGCTTTCTATCAATGAAAATACTGTTGTTTGTTAGGACATTCGAAATCGGTGGGAATACCCCCAACCAATAAAACATTAAACTGTCTAAATATAACGCGTTGGGGAATCCGGTCCGGCGAAAGCCTATAATTTAGTTAGTTCTATATAATTTCTACAATTTAGAGCTCGTATATTTGTTATATGGTACATTAACCATAAGAACATAGGTAAATCATTTTTGTGATTGTTTTTATAAAAAGCATCATATGAAATTATATCTTGTGAAGAATATCCCTTTAAAAACCAGCATCAATAATATCACGTGCAATGATATTATAATCAAGACCATTCGTTTTGTTTGAACAATATCCTGCTGACTGGAATTGAAAACATCAATCCCTTTTATATAACGTGAAAACATTTACTATAGGTTATTACCAGCCTTGCTGGTGCCAATCCTGAGGATGCCGCCCGCTTTACATAGTTCCGGTGGTGTACTGGGACTGGTTTGTCAATCTGATATCTAGCTACAACACCATTAAAACATTTATCACATGGTGACATCTAAATGATATGAATTATTTATTTGAAATAATCGCGTTTATTGAATGTGTATATCTTTGTCAATCAATTTGCAGTAAGCGAAATATCCAATATGCAATGGGACATTAACAAATGTTACACCACTCTGACTAATTACAAAATAGTGACGCTTTTTGCTATAGATATATGTAATAAGTTCGTTTAAGTTGATTTCGGTATTTCCTTATTGTTATTTTTTTTTTTTAATCTTGTCACTTTTCGTTGGTCGATCTTGGCAAATCAATGAAGATGAACCGTGTCAGTGACTGATGATAGTGAATATTCTGACACTTGTAGGCTCCGTCAGAGTCTGATGATGGTGAATATTCTGACACTTGTAGGCTCCGTCAGAGTCTGATAACAGTGTAAGATAGCCCAGTATGTCGTTAGTGTCAAGTCTGACACCTGAAGGCTCTGTTAGTGTCTGATGATATTGTATGGTAGTCCAGAGTGTTATCAGTGTAAAGTGTGACACGTATAGGCTCTGTCCGTGTCTGATGATATTGTAAGGTAGGCCAGTGTGTTGTCAGTGTAATGTGTGACACTTATAGGCTCTGTCTGTGTCTGATGATATTGTAAGGTAGGATTGGTGTTTTAACTAACTCAAATGTCGAAAGATTCGTTGTTCAAACCAGAAGTTCAATAAAATACAATTAAGGAATCAGTCATGTTTTATACTCACGTTTCAAAGCATTCATATAGATGTTAAATTCTCTGCGAAGTTTATTTATTTGAATACGTGATTAATTTTATTCACACATAAATTCATAAAAAGATATTTTATGGGCCAAAATTACATTGTCATCAATCCATGATCAAAATTCCCACCGACCCAATTGCTAAAGCATATGCAACTTGCTGGTTTTTGTTGGGTCCCCAATTTGAATTTCCACGGCTACTGTTAATGGTATTGTTCTTGTTCCTTGTCTCACATTATCACTGTATGCTACATACAGCAAATGTCCAGGTTCAGATACATGTGACACAGATTTCTTTTTAAATCTTTGTATTGACAAATATAACTTGTCGCATAAATTGCATC